AAGAGTTCTCTTGTACTTCAGAGAATGATCTTGCTATATTTAAGTGCGGGAGCTGCAGAACATAGAATATAATCTTATTCTTAAACTCAATTGATTTCAAAGATTCAATTCACAGATTCAATGATGTACATGTCATATACAGTTAACTGATAGGAAGAAAACAGTTCATACAATTCTATCAACTGATATGAGAAGGACATTCTATGTCTCTGATATAGAAGAGTTAAATCTGCTTATATATCAATAAGCAAAGAGAATGATTTGCAAGACCTCATCTGAAAGCATTCTGTATATCATACAGGATCTGAAAGTGGAGAAAATCAAGATAAAGAATATGCAGAAGAACAAGTGTATGAAGAAGCTTCTGAAGAAGTATGAAAAGATCTTCTGAACAGATCTTTCACTGAAATTGTCACTGAAATGAGGATTTGTACATGAGATTGACACAGAGGATACAAAACCAGTTAATCAGAATGTATACTCTCTGTCACAAACACATCTTGAAGAACAGAAGTGTCAGATCACAGACCTTCTAGAATGTGGTCTCATATGATTCTTATCAAGCATGTGAGGCTTTTCAGTTCTATTTATGAAAAAGATAGATGAGAAGTGATGAATGTGTATTAATTATTAAGCACTTAACAAGCTTATAATCAAGAATAAATATTCACTGTCACAGATTTAACAACAGTTGAATACAGTTAAAAACACCTGATATCTATTAAAAATTAATCTTCTCTCAGAATACTGGCAGATCTGTGTAGATAAACTATCAGTTTCATGAACCATATTTAATATACAATGAGAAAAGTTTGAATTCCTAGTAATATTATTTAATCTGATAAATGCACTTATCATCTTTCAAATGATAATGAATATGATTCTTTATAAATAGAATGAAACCTTATATCTTATATATCTTGATGATATTCTAGTCTTTTCAAACTCATATAACAAATATCTAAAGTATTTTGATAAAGTACTTATAACTCTGACAGAGTATAAGCTCTACATTAAATCAATCAAGTGTGTGTTTAAAACAGAAGAGTTGAAGTTTGTAGAATATATAGTAAGTGATGACTGTATACACTTCATTTCAGAGAAATTGAATATTATAGTGAATTGACTGCAGCTGAGAAATATATATTATATACAACAGTTTCTTGAGTTAGTCTTATATTACTGCAGATTTATCAAGGATTTTGTATAAATATCTACATCACTCTCAGATTTCTTAAGAGAAATGAATGCAAATCTGTGAAAGAAGAAGTTTCATTCAATCATCTGAAATACTGTGTGTGAAGAGGCTTTTCTCACACTGAGAAAATGTGTAATAACATTCTCAGTGCTTATTTAATCAGATCATGATAAACCTTTCTACATTGAGATGAACATATCTGAATGAGCTATTAGAGGCGCTCTTCTACAGATGAGTAAGAATGACAAGCTGCACTTAGTAATGTATAATGATAGAAAACTATCAGATATCAAGCTCAATTACTCAGTGCATGAAAAGAAATTACTAGTAATCAAGCATGTGCTGGTGTTATGAGATAGATATATTGACAATAAGTATATGACAATGATGATCACAGATCATAAAAGCCTCATCTATCTACAATTGATGATAAAACCTTTCAAATGCTTAGTATATTGAATCTCAGACTTTTAAGTGTATAATCTTCATATTAAATACTGAAAGGAATTGAATACTGTAATACCTGATGTAATCAGTTGCAGACCTGATTTCATGAGTGAGAATTCTGTGAACCAGGTACAAGAGAAGTTCATGTTAAATGCACTGAGAAGGTGCAAGGAATCAGAATGAGTGAATATTATGATCTCTTACTTGAAGAATGACAAGGTGTCAGATAACAAGTGTCTTACAAGAGTAGTAGAAGAGATGCTTTCAAACTTCAAGCTGAGAAAATTGAAAAATGATGTTGTGCTTTACTGCAATCTAGAATATGCAGAAGCTCTCTATCTAGAATCTTTATTTAGATGCAACTTGATGACTCACATGCACAAGGAATTCAGTCACTTAGAAAGTCCTGAACTCATGAGTGTACTCAAATCAAGAGTATACTGGCCAAGCATGGCTGAGAACATTCAGGTATATACTCATAAGTGTCTGAATTACCAGGTCACAAAAGAATCTAAAAAAGAATTAGAATGTGAGAAAGTATAACATCAGATAAAGTGTATGATATAACTGTTCAAACAATGAGAGATGAATCTCATAGATATATTACTGTGAACATCAAATGAAAATTGATGAATAATCACTGCTATTGATTATGCTACTAACTGGTCAGTCATAAAAGCAGTTTCAGAGATAACAGAGAAAATGATGATGAAGTTTCTATATAATAAGATCTATGTTAACTATGAAATACTGCATGAGATTCTAACTGATAATGATGTGAATCTCATAGAAGAAGCAGTGAGGCATTTCATGAGCCAGTTATAGACAAGACATTGTAGAACAACATTATATCATCTACAGATGAATGAGAAGATGAAATACTTGAATGAAATCTTAGACAACATGCTGATGAAATATCTAGTGAGTAAGTCTATGAGACTATGAAATGAATATCTCAGATAGACACTATTGACTATGTGAATTTAACAGTATGCAGTCTCTAAGTGTTCATCATTCTACCTGTTGTATGAATTGCATCCATGCATTCCGGAGAATGCTTCAGAAAAGATGAGAAAGGGAACAGCAGTTGCAGATGCAACAGTTATGAATGCAGCAGAAACAGCAGTTATAAATGCAGCAGTAGCAGTTGCAGATGCAACAGTCATGAATGTGAAATCAAGATTAAAAGAGATCAGCTATGCACATATAAAAGCTAATAAGTTACTTCTGAACTGAGCAATTCAATTGAAAAGAATACAAGACTCACTAGTCAAGAAATTGAGTCTCAAGATAAGAATATGAGTTCTTATATATAATGAGAGTTCTGAGAAGTTTCAATCTAGATGGTTTGAGTTATATAAAATACTCAAATCACATTCTCTGAGAACTTACACATTGAAGGAATCAGAGAGATGAGTCTTACACAACTTAATAAATGATTCATAACTTGTGAAAGTAAAGATATAAGATCTGAGTGAATTATAATCATTCACAGTACTATCATCAGTGTTGAAAAAGAAGAGACTTACAATTAAAAAGTCTTACAAAGTAAGAGAAATCATAGATACTTACAAATCAGATGATCTCACTTATTTCAATCTTTTCATAATTATAAGGAAAGAATGAGAAGAAATGAAGAAATCAGATGAATATCACACTTCAATAAGTGATGAGACTGTAGCTGATTATATGATAATGCATCACAGATAGTAGATGCAATATAATAAAGAGCAGTTTCAAAGCAGCAGACTTGTATATGAGTCAGATCACAGAAGAAAAAAGAATTCAGAGTTGAATTCAACTGTTTACATCAGTTCAATTGTGAAGATCACAGAGAATAAACTATCTGAAATATTTATAAACATGTGAGACCAAGTCATCTCAATCTCTGAGAACACTCAGAGATTGAATAAGATTAGTTTCAATGAGCTGTTCACTGTAGTGATCTGAGCAGGTGAAGAGAGACAGTATAATACATGAGATAGAATCATAAAAGATGAAAGCTACTGAATCTAGTCACTGAACACTGTATTATATAGAGATTATGTAAGAGTAGTGACTAGCAGATAAAGAAAAAGTGTAAGAAAAGAAAAGAGATAATGAATTGATCATCAACTGTAAGAGTCAGCTACAAAAGACAAATGTTATCATACACATCTCATTCATTTTCATACATTACATGTTTAATCTATTTCTAACATCACATCACCTGAAAAATATCAAAAATAAAGAAAATCTCGAAACTTGAGATCTGCAAGGGATTTAAGAGCTGTAAGCTGCTCTTATAACAATATCACACATGTCTCTGATTTCTCTATCACTCTGTATACAATATTAATGTTATTTATCACAAGATTGGCTGAAATGCTAATATAGAAATGCATACATGTATATGTAGAAAAATTGAAGAAGAGTGCAGAATCTGCAGAACCAGAAGCTAGAATAGAAGAAGTGAAGATGAAAGAAACAGAAGAAGAAGAAGATGCAGAACTGAATGAATAACAGTGAGAGTCACTCAGGGCTGAACACTTATAATCTGATATGTGCACAATCTTCCCTGCAGAGAAGGAAGAGAAAGCAACAGAAGAAGCTTAAGAGTGAGAGAGAGTAGTCTCAATAATGTTATCATCTTTGATTAGAATGATCTCTGATACTGAAGTAACTAAGAATCATTATTAGCATACAAAACTGCAAAAGCAGAGATAACAATTACTGAATGAACACTCACTGATCTTAGAATTGTATATGTAATTATAACATGCACAAGACTTCTCAGAAAGAGAGAGAGAGACACAGAGAAATACAGAAAACAGAACACAGTGTGTGAACAGCTCATTTTCATGATGACATTTCAGACAAGGCATACAAGTCTCATGTCTGTGAATGTAAAAGAGTATGATATCTGTGTTTCTGTTTCTGAAAACACAGATATCTTTCACCTGCATTACAAAGTTGAATGACAGATATCAGAGAATAGGCTGATACAGATCTATTATTTTGAAGAAATTCATCAGAGCAGATGTCTCTGCAATGTTGAACTTTACAGTTATGAAAAGCTTCTTGATATCTGTGAATATCATGACTTTGTGCACAGTAAAACTCATAATGATTTTCTCTAAGAATAAGAAAATCAGTATCAGAAAGAAAAAGATGAAAAAGAAAAAGACTTACAATCTTAACACTGTTAAGAAAGAGAGTGATTCTCTGATATGAATGAATAATTATCTCATCATGAATATTTAAAATGAATGTAATAATCAGTGTTCATGACTGAGCTTCAGATTATTATATTATACACAGTCTTCATACAATAAATTATTCTGAAAGTCAGTAAGAAGAGTGAGAGTGTATACACTGAGAAATGTGATTCATTAAGTCTATACAACATCTCCTTGAAACAGGGAGAGCTGATAATGAAAACAGAGATAGCAAAATCAGAAGTAGTAGAAGTGAGAATTGCAGAAACAGAGATAGCAGGAGCAGGAGAATCAGACACAGAGACAGGTGTAGAAGATTGAGAGAGAGTGACAGAGAAAAGAACAGAGAAGACAGAGAAGAATATAAGAGACTCAGTCACACATGATATGAATAATTTCTTCATTATCACATTCTTTAAGTTCTCAATCAATGATTCAACATTGAGTTCACTATTATCAGTGAATGCAGATCTGTCAATGTATGAAGATTCTACATGAATAAAAATAACATATCAGCATCTGCATTCATGCAAAATTGTGCCAGAAAACACAATCAGAAACCTGCTGAGAAGGAAAAGATTGAGAATGTATAAGAAGATAGAGAAGATGTGTCATTTATAGTGATATGTTCTGATGATTATTAGAAGATAAACAAGTCTGGCCATGTTTCATAACATATTACACTTACTGCTAACAAACTGCTCAGTATGAGCACTATGATGACACTTGTTATGAGAATAAGAAGTCATCACCAGAAATGTGTACAATGTGATAGATAAATAAATAGAAGATGTTGAACAGAAAGAGAAACAGTAATCTTGAATGAGATAATAATGATGTTCAATGATGATGATGATAAAGAAGATGATTGAAGAATGAGAAAAGTTAGTGAATGAGTGATGTAATATAATAGAAGTTTCTTTGTGAGAGTGTATACAGAATGCTAGTCAAATCAGAAATAGATCACATAATTATGAAATGCTAGTGGCGAGCTAATCTGCATGAAGCTAGAATGTATGACATGGTCATATGAGCGTGACTGAATCTGGTGAGGAAGAATGTGGTTCAGAAGAATATATAACTGTCAGATAATAACACAGCCACTTCTGAACTTGCTTATGAGTGTAAAGAGGGCCATAGTGGCCACTAATTAATTTAGTATATGATATTATGATATATAAGAAACCGGCGTACACCTGTAATCGTACGCTGGCTCAAGCAACCTTTGAATCACAAATGTGAAACATGCTTAAAAAGAGATGAAATATATCAATATACTCTACTTAAGTACTTCAATTGCAAAGAAAAACATGCATCTAGCTCAAAAGAATGTGTATTTGCTTCAAGAACTCAGAAGAACTGGAGAAAAGATGAAGCTCAAAGTAAATCTAAAACTGAAGAGAAAAGTCAAGCTAGTAAATCTACAACTGTAAGCTTAAAAAGAAGAAATTCTCAACTATCTAGATCTTCAAACTTCAACTCTTCAGCTAAGTGTAAACAGAATTTGAATTCTCAAACTTCTGTTAAGATTAGAGAATTGAGAAATGACTCTGATGATAAACTAGATATAATGTAAGCAGTTGAGATTCCTACTTTTCAAAATAGTTATAATCTACTATCTGATGATAGGAATTAGATTCTACTCTATCTCTACTCTCTCTTAGTATGAATATACAATAAAAATAACAAAAAAAGTTTAAAAACTCTTCAAAAATCACATTTATTCAAAATAATGTGAATAGAAACTCAAATTGTATTTATTCTTATCTTCAGATTGTATTTGAATAAAAAGTTAACTTTGTACTTCTTCAAGAATCAAACTTTGATACTGAGTAAAAGTATATCATTTCTCATTCAAGCTATTACTGCTTTCTTTCTGAAAAATCTGAGATAAAATCAAGAGTAGTGATCTATGAGAGAAAAAGATCAAGATATCAATTTAATTTGAGATTTGATATCATATCTGACTCTGATATTCTAGTGGATGATATTATAGATAAAGAGAATGAGTTTGATACTATTCAACTTATAAATATCTATAATGAAAAGTCATTGAAAGAAAACAACAATATCTGAATAATTGATAGAGGATTTTTGAATATAACTTTCTTAAAAAACTCTATTATTGCAGGAGACTTCAATGCACATTATCTCTGATAAAACTCAGAGTGCATAAGAGCAGTAAGAGCAGATAAACTGATTAAATGAACTTTTAAGCATTTAATAGATTTAGTTAACAAGTCTGATCAATAAACATTCTTTAGAAAAGACATGAAACAGAAATCTATTATAGATCTAACTTTCATATCATAAAATCTAATTGAAAAAAGACTTATAAACTGATTTATTAATTCAAATAAAACCTCAGAATCAGATCATGAGATTATTCAATTTGATATTGAACTAAGTGAAAAACAAAGAAGTGAAAATCCTCTTCTCTCTAATCAGTATAACTTGGAAAAAGCTGATTGAAAAGCAGTTGAAGAAAGAGTAAAACAGCTAAAATCTGAAAGATAGAGTGAGTTTTATTGAAATCAAAGTCAAGATATCTCAAATGAAATGCTTGAGAATAGAGTAAAGCTGATTACATCTATTCTTCTAACAAGTATTAAAGAAAATATTTCAAAGAAAAGGTCTTCTGAGTATTTCAAATCTTGATAAAATGAGAATATCACTTCTAAAAGAAAGCAATTAGTCACTGCTAAGAGAGAGTGAAAGAATAACTTAATATCTAATAAAGAGTTCAAAGCTATTCAAAATGAATATTTTTCAGATATTAAAAAAGTCAAAACAGATTACTGAAACAAATTTCTTAAAGAAGCACAAGAAAAAGAAGTCTTTAAAGCCTTCAACTATACTAAAACAAGAAGTGTAGCAAAGCTTTCAACCTTAGAATATGAATTTCAGAATGAATTATATACAGCAAACTCTTTTGAGAAAAAATGTCAAGCTTTTATAAGAATTCTCTTTCAAAACTCATCACATTTAGAAGAGAAGAATATGTCATTTCATGAATATATTAATGAAAATAACTGGGAATGATCTGAGCTTACATGTGATGAACTAGAGTCAGCAATATTCTCAAGTTCAATTAAAACTGCTACAGAGCCTGATTTAATTAATCATTTAATTATTCAAAACATATATTTCTACTTGAAGAATGAATATTTTGAGCTCTCTTTCAATCTCTTAAAAAATAATTATCATTCTGAATGCTGGAGAGAAGCTACTGAAGTAATCCTTGTAAAATCTAATAGAAAAGCTTCAGTTTCTAAGTTATTATTATTATTATTATTATTATTATTCTTCAATTATAGATGTATGCAGTCAGAGACTATGACATCTACCTGAGAATCTTTAGTTCTCAGGGTTTTTCCTATATCTATAGAGTCAACTATTATACATTTATCAATTTCAAATATGCAAAATCAGAAAATTCCAGCCCAGAATACAAAAACTATTTATAAATTGCAGTATTTTAACACCTTCTGATAGTTTGAAACCATTTGAAAATATTATGACAAAAGAAAAGAGAACATAGTCTTAAAGATAGACATATTAAATAGATAGAGAAAAGAACAGAAGGAAACAAGTACAGTAAAGAGAGACTATAACAAAACAAAATTATTAAAAGAGAATATATAGCTGTTTTAACAGACTATATCTAGTCAATTTCCACTTCTTCATATTCAGATACTTCTGAATTCAGCCATTTTCTTATAGCTGCTTGAGTTTCTGATAGAAAGTCTATTAAGTATTTAATTTCTGTCTCAGTTGAGAATAAGAATCTTATATTTAATTGATTTAGATCATACTTCTCTTTCAATCTGGCTCTGAGACTATTGTATAATGCACAGTGCATTATAATATGCTCAGGATTCTCATTTGTATTGCAGAATGAGCATTCTATTGAGTTAAATCTATCATCAAATCTTTGTATATAAGATTTGAAATAACCATGTCCTAGTTTCAGCTGAATTATAGATGAGAATATTTTCTTTTTACATTTAATTGAACAAGATTTCTACTTTGGTTTTGTCTCAAATCTTGAATAATGTATACTCTTCTTTTGTTTCTGCCAGCTTTCATTTCACTTGTTTAAACAAGATTCTTTTATCTTTCTCTTTATGAAAGATCAGGACACTGTTTTTTGAATAGATCTGCTTAATTCTGAACTCTTTTTTGCAGCTGAATCAGCCAATTCATTGCCTTGAATATTCATATGAGTAGGAACTCAATGCAGATGAATTATCAGTTTTGATGTTCTTCTCTTTTGAATTTTCAAAACAGAGTTTAAAATCAGTTCAAGATTCATTTGATCATTATGAATCTGACTATTTCTAAGTCTTTTTAAAGCAGCTTGACTATCAGAGAATATTCATGTCTCTTTCAAATCATTTCCTCTTTTATAAGATTTTATTTCAATGAGTTTGAAAGCTTTCACTATTGCAAATAGTTCAGCATCAAAGACTTCAGATTCACAGCCTAAATTCCAGAAATCTGAGATAAAATTAATATTATCTTCAGTATAAGCAATGCCTGCGCCTAATCTATTCAAATTCTCATTTCTTGAGTCATCTGAGTAGATCAGAATAGAGTCTTTTATATTAATTGTAGAGATCTTCTTCAAATGCTGTTCATATTCTCTCTCTTTAGATAGTTCACTTATTTGTAAGTCTATGAGAGATTCCAGCTTTTCTCTTCAGAGAGATATCTTCTCATGATCAATTTTCTCAACATTTAATGAAGAAAATTGATTCTTAATAAGTGAACATAGTCTATACAGTTGAGAGAGCATTTTCTTTAAAGTATTATTCTCATTTCAATCAAGAAATCTATTCCAATCCAGTTCATTTCCTGAGTTAACTGATGAAAATGAAGAAGAGACTCTTTCTCTGATTATATGATTTGAGCTCATCTTCATGACTCTCAGAGCATAGTTTATACAGGCCTTTTCAAATTGAATAGCAGGAGGTGGAATTGAAGCTTCAATTTTCATTGCTTTAATAGGAGATGACTTAAATGCTTCCAGAATTCTTCTCAAAGCTCTGTTTTATAGACTTTGAAAGAGTTCAGTGAAGTTTTCTTGATTATTTCATCAAACTTGAACATCATAATCAGCTACTGAGATAATACAGGCTATGTATAACTGTCTCATAGCCTGAAAGAATAGACCTCTCTCAGTATTTGATAGTCTGATTAAACTATTCAGTAGTCTCTCTGTCTTGATGATTCTTTGTTGAATATAATATTTAAAATTCAACTTGGAGTTTAATCATACTTCTAGTCATTTGACATTTAAACTGGGTTTAATCTCTTTATTTAAAAGAGTTAGACTTAGTTCTTTCTCATTAAATCTGGAAAAAAAGTGAATTAGCTCAGTTTTATTCATATCAAATTGAATTAGATTAATATCTGCTCTAACAAAGATTTCCTTTACTGCTTTCTCAATCACTTCTAAATTCTCTTTGATTGTCTTTGAACTGTAGA